TTTAGGGTTGACTTTTGGTGCTTTTCTGTTGACCCTCGATTCTCCCATTTCTAAGTGATACATCTTGAATATTGTTTTCTTTTGATGGTGCTTTGAGGGGATATTTGCTTTGAGCTTTTGGCCTATGTTTTCCAACATGTTTAGGTACCTTGTGCATTTTATTTGATCATTTTTGAACCATTTTCCTATTTTTGAGGTAACTTGCAAGTCAAGTTACCTCCAAGGGAGGTTCACACATGTACCTTGACCTAGTTTGACTTGGATATGACATTTTTAGATCCTTTGAGCTCTCAATGCCTTTTGTTTCATGTTTCTAACATGTTAAGGATGATGTTTGCTCAATTTTAGGTCATGATATGGTTTCTTACTTGTTCTTTTATTTGTTTTCTTTTGAGTTTTCAATTAGGGTTTCAATGTGTAGCTTGTTTGCATTCCTTTATGTTTTTGTTTTCATTTCTTTTTTTTATGCTTTGCTTTTTCTTTTGAGCTTTCCCTTCATCTTTGCCTTCTTTCCAATGACCTTGGAGTGTCATTTAAGGTGGCTTGGTCCCTCCTTTGGAGGTATTTGAAGCATACCTAGAATGATGAATCCTTGAGGACACTTTTGGTGCTTCTTTGCTTTTGATGAGTGATGCTTATGATTGAGTACCTATTATGAGGTCCTTGCTGCCCTCATTTGGTCTCCCATCCTCACTTGGCTTTAGGTTTTGTTTTACCTTTCATTTGGTTTAGTTTTGTTGGTGTGGTTGATGTTGTTTGACTTAGGTCATTTCATCTCACTTTTGATGCATCTTTGTGTGGATTGCCCTTCTTTGGTTGGTTTCTTCTTGTGCTCCTCTCCTTCTTTTCTTTTCTTGCCTTTTCATATGCATGCTTGGTTAAGATGAGCTTGTGGAGGCTACTTCCCCACACTATTTTCCTCCCACTTTCATTCTACTTGTGCATTCAATGTGTGCATTCTTTCATTTGCATGTTTCTTTTGTTGTTTCTTCTTCTTATTTTGTCTTTCTTCCGTTAGGGTTTCTAATCTCTATTATTCAAGAGAGGTTATGATAGAGATTAGGTGCCTAACCATGCATGATAACATTAGGTAGTTCCCTTTGAATCCCAACTTTAAGTCCACTTTGCATGACAACTTTTAAGATTGATTAGTCTCCCATTAGTGTCCTTTCTTCTCTTCTCATCTTCAAACATTCATAAAACATCTAATAAAGAATGACAAGTGTGGCACGCTAAGAGCCTTAAGCTACTTGAGAAATGGTAATTTAGGGGCCTCCTCTCAATGACCTAGAGTGTTTAGTGTACACCCTTTGGGTGATATACGGCGCATTCGCTCTTAGGTCATAGTCTCTAGTGCGACATGAGTTACAAATCAAGTTCAAAACACTTCTTCTCTAAAAAACACAAAAACACTTCAAACCTTTTTCATCCTTCGGGATCTTAATCAGGAAAATCTTTTCAGATAAAAGAGTGTCGTTGACTTTTAGTTCTACCGCAAATGGTAACGCCTAAGTCTCCAATGGTCAAGTTGCATACACCAACTGCTAGAACTACTTGTTAACCCCACTCGGGCCTAAAAACGTTTGAACAACCTGTGTTCTCGTTAGCCCGAACTACGTTCGCTCTGATCTTTCATACTAGATGAAAGTACGTAGGCATAAGACGCTGTAATACCCTAATTTTTACCCCTAAGATCCCATATTTCATTTGCATCATTACATACGCAAACAAGATCATACTTTATGGTTCTCCCGGCACCCTTGTGTGTTTCTTACTTGCTTTTTATTGTTTATGTTTACTAACCTCTAACCAAAATACCAAAAATATTTTGCAATTTTGCTTGTTTCCTCTTCTTTGTGTGTTTAGGGTTTTGCAAGGAGATTGATGGCAAGGACATTCATTCAAGTTTAAATCAAATGGAAGTTTGACCTTATCTTGGTCAAACTATCAAGAGATTGCTTCAAAGTGCAAATTGGTTGTGGCAGTGGGTTATTTTCTCAGGAAATGTAATTGTTCAAAAAAATCAAATTGTCTTGTGTTGAAATCCATTGGTTTATCAAGCAGTGTTCTATGAGAAGTTTGGTCCAGAGATTCAGAGATTTGTATGTGCAAGTCAATGTGTTGATTGATAATATTCGTAGCAGCTGTTGAGTTTTCCTTCAGAGTTGAAGAAGATGCTGTTTGGAGTCTGATTGCGAAGGCTCAACTTAGGGATGGGCTTGTAAGCGATGCAATTGAGTTATTTATACGAGCAGATGATACTACACAACTTTTGGATGTTATTCGTGCTGCTAAAGATGCCAATGTTTACCATGACTTGATCAAATACTTGTTAATGAATGGAATAAATCTTTAACTCCAGCAGCTGATGTTGCCAAGGAAGTTCTCAAAGCTCAATCGGATGCTCAACCAATTGTGACAAATAATACGGTATCTGATGGCTCCTTTGTGGCAGGTTCGTTGTATGCTGATGTTGGTTATACAGTTCAGGCTTCAAAGTCTAGCTATCATTTAAAACAAGTTGGGCTTTATTCCTTTAGTTGTCAGAAGCTTGGTTAGATTTCAGTACATATACATCACAAAGACAATGATAAAGAGCTCATTCCTTCAGTTCTGTTATCTTTGAGTGGTGATGATGGTTACAGAAACAACTCAGTATTTGGGACTGGAGGGACTTCCTTCATTTAGATCTCTCTTATGGGTTGGGCCTACCCTTCTTTTCTCTACTACTACTGCCATAAGTATACTTGGTTGGGATGGAAAAGTGAGGCCCATCTTATCAGTCAGTATGCCATATGCAGTCTTGGTTGGGGCTTTGAATGACAGATTGTTGCTCGCGAGCCCTATAGAGATAAATCCCAGACAGAAGAAGGGGGTAGAGATCAAAAGTTGCCTTGTTGGTCTTCTTGAACCAATTCTTATTGGATTGGCCACAATGCAGCAAAGCTTTGAGCAGAAGCTTGATCTGTCAGAAATATTATATCAAATAACGTCGAGGTTTGACAGCTTGCGCATAACACCTAGGTCTCTGGATATCCTTGCAAGAGGATCTACGGTCTGTGGAAATTTAGCTGTCTCTTTATCACAATCTGGTCCACAGTTCACCCAGGTGATGCGAGGTGGCTATGCTGTTAATGCTCTTCGTTTTTCCACTGCTTTATCTGTTTTGAAAGATGAATTTCTGCGTTCCAGAGATTATCCAAGATGTCCTCCTACATCTCATTTGTTTCACCAGTTCAGGCAGTTGGCTTATGCGTGTATCAGGTTTGGCCAATTTGATAGTGCAAAAGAAACATTTGAAGTTATAGCGGATTATGAAGGCATGCTTGATCTATTTATATGCCACCTTAATCCCAGCGCCATGCGGCGTATTGCTCAGAAATTGGAAGACGAAGGCCTTGACTCCGAATTGAGGCGATATTGTGAAAGGATATTACGAGTTCGATCTTCTGGATGGACACAAGGTATATTTGCCAACTTTGCTGCTGAGAGTATGGTTCCAAAAGGACCCGAATGGGGTGGTGGAAACTGGGAAATTAAAACCCCAACCACTGTGAAGGACATACCTCAATGGGAGCTTGCTGCAGAAGTGACACCATACATGAAGACTAATGATGGAACAATTCCGTCCATTATTGTAGATCATATTGGTGTGTATTTAGGCTCAATTAAAGGAAGGGGTAATATTGTTGAAGTGAGGGAATGTAGTTTGGTTAAGGCCTTCATGCCAGCAGGTAATGATAATAAAGTAAATGGTCTTGAAGCATCTTCAGTTAAATCCATATCTAATCTACCAAATGTGGTTGGTGATCCCAAAGGTGATTCATTGATGGGTCTGGGAAGCCTTAACAAACAGCTTGCCAGTTCATCTGCTGATGAGCAGGCTAAAGCCGAAGAAGAATTTAAGAAATCTATGTACGGAGCTGCTGATGATGGTAGCAGTAGTGATGAAGAAGGAATATCCAAAATTAAAAGAATACACATTAAAATACATGACAAACCAATTTCCTCTTCTACTGTGGATGTGAATAAGATTAAAGAAGCCACTAGAAAGTTTAAACTTGGTGAAGGGTTACCTCCACCAATGAGGACCAGGACAAACAGCGGAAGCCAGGATCTCGGCCAGATTTTGTCCCTGCCACCAACAACTACAGGAGCAGCTTCTGCTACTGTTTCAACTCCTGTTGACCTTTTCGGTACAGAAGCCTCAACTCAACCAGAATTACTTTCACAGCCTACGACCGGGCTTGTAGGTGGGGGAGTTACAACAACACCTATTCCAGAGGATTTCTTTCAGAATACAATTTCTTCTGTTCATGTTGCTGCATCACTGCCTCCTGCTGGAACTTTTCTCTCAATATTCACTCCAGGGGTTCAAACAAGCAATACAACTCCAAATCAAGGTGCTGCTGAAGCTGCTTCTAGCTTTCAAGGTGGTGTTTCCACTCAAGCCATTCAACAACCTGTTGTTCCAATTGAGTCCATAGGACTTCCTGATGGTGGTGTCCCACCCCAATCCATGCCTCCGGCTGTCGTCACGCCACAATCTCAACTGCAGCCTGCTCAGCCTCTTGACCTTAGTGTACTTGGAGTACCAAATTCTGCTGATTCAGGGAAGCTTCCACAAACTGGCACTGCACCAGTTTCCGTGCATCCTGGACAGGTTCCCCGTGGGGCTCCTGCTGCTGTATGTTTCAAGACTAGACTTGCCCATTTGGAACTAAACCATCTTTCAGATGCGTTGTCTTGCTTTGATGAATCTTTTCTTGCACTAGCTAAGGAACAATCTCGTGGAAGTGATATTAAAGCTCAGGCGACAATTTGTGCTCAATACAAAATAGCAGTCACTCTTCTTCGGGAAAGGACGTTTGCAAAGAGTCCATGGCCCAAGTGTAATCAGTGCAAAAGATGAGATGTCAAGACTTTCACGTCATCTTGGATAACTGCCTCTTCTTGCTAAACACAGAATAAATTGCATCCAAACTGCCATCAAAAGGAATATGGAGGTCCAAAAGTATGCATACTCAAAGCAAATGCTAGAATTACTACTGTCTAAAGCACCTTCAAACAAGCATGAAGAATTTAGGAGCCTGGTTGATCTGTGTGTTCAGAGGGGCTTGACTAACAAGTCCATTGATCCCTTAGAAGATCCCTCACATTTCTGTGCTGCCACTTTAAGCAGGCTGTCTACCATTGGATATGATGTGTGTGATCTCTGTGGGGCCAAATTTTCGGCTGTGACTGCACCTGGATGCATCGTGTGTGGAATGGGAAGCATCAAAAGGTCTGATGCTATTGCAGGACCTGTATCTTCACCATTTGGCTGAGTCTCCAAGATGTTTTAACAAAACATGCTGTAACTTGTTACCCCCTAATGAATTTGTTGGTCCTGATTCCACCGAGACGGAATTGGTTCCTGCATATGTTCGGCTGCTGCGTGATAATAAGGCGGAATTACGTATTGCTGCTGCTGGTTCTTCAGCTTTTGTTCAAGTGCGAATCGTGTTGGATGATGAAACATGAAATATACTAATGAGGTATGTTGGTGCACGCAGTGAACTAGTCATTGGTTTGCATGGAGGAGCACTGCTTGGTGTTGCCTATCGGACGTCTAGAAGAATCAGTCCTATTGCTGCTACTGCTATTTCGACAATCCAGTCTATGTCGTTATCGGGTTATGGAAGCAGTGGTCTTTCTTCATTTTCCACTTATGATGATGGATCTTCTTCACATAGATCTCCAGCTGAGGCGGCACCTCAAAACTTTCAGTTATACAGTTGGGAGACATTTCAGCCTGTGGGGGGTCTACTTCCTCAGCCAGAATGGACTGCTTGGGACCAAACTGTCGAGTATTGTGCATTTGCATACCAACAATACATAGTCATATCTTCTTTGCGCCCACAATATAGATACCTGGGAGATGTTTCAATTCCATATGCTACTAGTGTTGTTTGGCATCAGAGGCAACTGTTTGTGGCGACGCCAACAACTATAGAAGTTGTTTTTGTGGACGTTGGGGTTACACAAGTCGACATTGAAACTAAGAAGATGAAAGATGAGCAGAAAATGAGAGATGCACAGACAAGAGCAATATCAGAGCATGGTGTATGCAAGGTGTGCAGGCTGCCTGGAGACTTGGAAGGTGGGATTTGATGGATGAGTATCTTAATGGAGCTGAAGATGACAGTTTAGTTTGCAGTAGCTCGGAAAGTAATGCTTCATTTGATTTGAATGTCGCAAAGATTCTCCAAGCAATGATGAAGAGAGACCACTTATCAGTTGCAGAGAAAATTGCTTTAACCAAGCAGTCACTAATTGCTTCCTTAGCTGCATCAAAAATGGATAGCACATGAGCCAGCTGAAAAATAATCCACGTCATATATTTGAAAGTGAGCTGGAATCAATAAACCAGAAAATCCACGTCACACAAGAGCTAAAAATGAAAAATCAAAATGACATGAAAGATGCACATGGGTCACGCACGGTTCACACAACGCATCAAATGAAAACGCAAAAACAAAGATCAAAACGGTAGCAGCAATATTCAAATTGAAATCACTCACCTCTTCTATAAATAGAGAACGCTTCATTCACAATTTTTCAAGCTTGAAGAGCCAAAATCCTGCTGCCAAAATCTCCATAAACACTTATTCAAAACTTCAACCAAGTCATCCTCAAAGCTTCAAACGAACCTTCAATCACCTTCAAGCTTCATTCAATTAAACTTCACTATCCTTGAAAATTCATCAACATTGCCCTTCAATTTTTCTTTAACCATTACCATCAAAACCACATCTCATTTTCGCATCTCACAAATCGCAGAAAATCTTCATCAATACAACAAGTCTTCAGAAACGTGAAGGAGAAGAGAAATCAAACTGTTACTCACGTAAATTCGAAGGTAGTTACCGGTTTCGTCGAGGTCTTGTGTTCTAAATTTGATTCTGAAGTTGAGCTTCGTTCGAAATTGTTGGCGTATTTAGAATCTGCTGTTGATTTCGAACCTAACCGTGTTGGTTTTGCATCTCGTCGCTCCAATTTCTGGAAAGCTCTGAAACATCCATGGCCGTGAATAGTGGCACATTGCAAATGAAGAAGATGATGATGTTCTAAAACTTCAGATTCGATCCACTTTACTTTTTATTTTATTTTAAACTTTTTAAAAAAAAAACAGATATTGGGCCGTGTGGCCTTTTTAATATCATCACCATTTTTCTTTTACTTTAAACCTCCTTTTTTTTTAAAGCTTTTTTCTAATATTTGTTTTTCTTTTGAAATAATTTCTTAAAATAGATTTTGTTTTGGATCTTGAATTTTGATGAGATCTCATCAATATCAATGGACTTTGGGTGTCGATTTTATCCACCAAGAGAGGTGATTGATATTGATGATGATTTAATCGATTTAAGATTCAAATTGAGGTTTCTTTTCATTCTTCTTCTTTTTCTTTTGATCGATGAAATATATGGATCATAGATTGTTGATTATCAAAGTTGTTTAATCTTCATTATTTCAAACCTATGGACGAATAATCATTCAGATAATTCTCCGTACTTTGGAATAGTGATAGATTACCTTTGATTAATTGATTAAAAATCTTGATTATGATGAGATCACTACCTCTTTTCTTTTTGTGTGGCATGTTTTAGGAGAGTGATTTACATATTACTTCTCTAACATGTGTTAACACTAACATTATTATTGACCGGCCTCAGATAGTCGTGGTTTCTACATAAACCCGATTACGATTGCTTAACATAGCGCTAAAGTGTCCCTTAATCGGAAAATGATCATTCGTGGCTCAAACTTACGTTTAAAAGTCCAAGTATGATTAGTTGCTTGTCTTAAGTCCAATACCTATGAAAATCATTGTTAGGAGGCTTTGATTCTATCAATCCTCTAATGAGTTTTCATTAACTTTGGTCTAAGTGCAAGAATTAATCATCATTGATCATATGTTCTAACCACTAATTACTAATTCACTAACAATATCCTTGTTTAATTTTGTTTATATTCTCTTCTTACTCTTTATTTCTTTACTTTTATGCTTCCATTTTATCATTTCATATCATATCTTTGTTTATGTTTATGTCATTTCGCTTTTGTCCACTTGGACCATACCTTGTTCAAAATACTAATAAAGGATAAAAAATCTCTAAAAAAAACTTGGTGCTATTAACTTTGTGGTTATGCTCTTGGACTATTCTTAGACCTTGGACTTCATGGTCCTTTGGACTTAGAATTAGGACTTTCATTCCTATGCTTGGAGTATTGTGGATCTTAGCCTTTATTTGGCTCGCTCATTAGCTTATGCTTTAAATCGGATGGAATTCTTTTTGCTTGCTATGGAGTGTGCTACAAGTCGGTTAGATCTTTCTTACCTCTAGCTCTTATTTTGGTTTCTAGGATAGTCACTTCATCTCCTCCCCTTCTTAAATTTTCAAAACTTTCTCCCTCTTTCAAAACCTTCTTGGTTTCAAACTTCAAAACCGCTTTCGCAATAAAACCTTGACTTTCGTCAAGTGATTTTTAAACTTTGTTTTTTTCTTAATAAAAGTGAATCAATGTTAATCATGCTTTGACCAATTTCAAAAGACATAAAAAATACAAAAACTCATCAACTCTTTTTGTGCCTTTGTGCACTTTTTCACTTTAAAACTTTTCATAAAGTTTAGACATGATTCATTTCTATAGTTGAGATGTAAATCTCCTATTCCCCATATTATTAAGACTTTGACATTTTCCACGTTGATGTTGAGTGATAGTCTTGTTGATAATCCAAGCAAATCCTCCATCTTTATGTGACGCCGATGTTGTCTTAATACTCGTGGGTGGATAGTCGCAGTTTTCTCCTTGAAATGACGACTTGTCTTTACATCTAAAATCAATCAAAACCAACAAATTTTTGTCATTTGTACCACGAACTACGGGGTTTTGATCCCATATTGCACTTTGTGGGTACGTAGGCATGAGGCGATAAGTCTCTCCAAACACAAAAATCTAAAAAATAATTCTCTTCTCATCTCCCCAATCTCTTTTCAAACAAACCATTTTCAAACTAAAAAACGTAAATATTTCAAAGGGCTCCTATAGAGTACTATAGGCGTGTTGGGTGCTAACACCTTCCCATTGCGTAACCAACCCCCTTACCCTGATCTCTGTCTCTTGTTCTTATTTTAGAACTATTTGGTTTTGTTCGCTCTTTTTCCTTTCCTTTTTTGGATAAAATAAAAGTGCGATGGCGACTCTTGTTTTTGAGTTAAGCTAATTAATAACTTACGCTCACGATTTTTACCACTACAGACGCGATGTCTTAGCGAGCAACCTTTCCCTTTTACCTGTTGTTAGTCGAACTATGTTGACTCTGACTTTCCCATTGTACGAGGGAATACGTAGGCCCAAAGCAGCAACGTTCTGTCGAGTCCTGTCCTTTCTTTCTCTTTTGTCCATGATACCTTTAGCTATATAGTTTCAACACACCCTTTTAGATAGACAACAATGCGTGGATCCTTTCGAGTACGACGAACATGAGGGGTGCTAATACCTTCCCCTTGCGTAACCGACTCCCGATCGTTTACTTTCCCTTTTTCATCAGGTTTTTCCGATCGTTTCCTTTCCCTCTCTATGGGATAAATAACGAAAGTAGTGACTCTTCTGTTTTTTCTGCCGGTTGTTTTTCGCAGTTGCGACAGCTGGCGACTCTGCTGGGGACCTTGGTTCCCTATGCGAGTCAATCCTAGCTCTTGTCTGTTTATCTTTGGGTGTTGTATATATGTGCTTTATTTACTTTTGCATTTTACTTTCCCACATTTAGTTTTTGCATCATATGTCATTACTGCTGTGCTGTGGGGAGGGAAGTTCCTTTGAGTGATAAGCCAGACCCAGGCTTGAGTATACACCTAGCTTTAGTAGTGGAAAGTAGTGGTGCATGTGCTTGCTTTGCTCGTACTAGTTCACCATGAAATTCGCGCTTGGACGAGATTCTCTTTGACAATTTTCTTTCTGGCCCTTTAGGCTCGAAGGAATTTTGGATCTGACGGTTGTCGGCTTTGGGGACCGATCATTTGCGAGTCAGTTAAGTTAGGCCTCTTCGGGAGATGATGATGCCAAACCAGAAATGGTGAACGTATCATCATTTCTTGAAAGTCTGTGACGTTGACAAACGCATAGGATGTTGTACCTTATCAGTGAATAGGTCCATACCTGTGAGTGGGACTGAGGGGTTATGCAGGAAACTTTTACCTTCAGATTACCCGGTTTTCTCTACGGTTTGAATCTGAATTATTGGTATCAGTTGGTTTCTATCGAAGCGGTTCTATGTTCTTGC